AAGCGCTTGTTCAAAGTGATGATGACGTGCTCGGAGGAGCGAACATGCGACTTCTTGGGGTTCCTACTTTTACTGTTCGCTGCAGTTGATGTTTGGCACGCGAGTTCTACAGAAAGACACACGGAATGAAGCTGCCAAACAAATTCCTGGCGCTTTAAAGCTTGCCTTGCGAGAATGCTGCGATGACAAGGTGCAGCAGAAGCCGCTTGGCAGCCATGAGCCTGGCGCAGGTCAGCCAACACACCCGCACACGGAGTTTGCCAAGAACAGCTGCATCCGTGATCACATGAGTGTGCATCAGAACGTTGACCCGCTCGGACTTCTTGCATCTTCTTGCCTTGCCGGTCCCTTCTCAAGGAGAGCTCAAGGCCTCATACAAGAATTGCTAAGAAAAACGTTGCCTAGCAGTGCCAACAAGAGTTGGATCATCAACACATGCCAAATTGCGGCGCTTGACCCTTCAAAGTGCGTTTATCCACTTGGGCTCACATGAGTCGCGCCTTGCCTAGCCCTTTTAGCTTCTCTGGCAGTTCACGGAGCTGAAGTGACATGAAATGAAGAGCGGATGACCCCGACAGGCTTCAATGTAATATTTTGGCGACCTTGGCTTCCAAGTCCACAATCGGATCTGAGAGAAGACAGGTGCAAAAGGCACGCGGCCACCGCACGGTGTTGTTGTGTCGTTTTGTGCGTGTTAGCAACGTGTTGAACCTTTAGAGAGGCACAAAAGGCATGCTGCAGCCATGGCCCCAATGTGTCAGGATGTCTCATGCCACGGTGACGAAGGTGGCTGCTTGTCATCCGGTGTTGGCACTGGAGAATGAAAAGCTGCGAGCCCTGCGGAGAGATATCGACAGTGATGCATGATGCGGCAATCATGGTCACACTGAAGCTAGCGGCCTTCTCAAACGCTTCATTTTTGATTCTCGCTGCGTCTGTCCTTCCATCCGTGCAAGTACGACTCTGCACTACGCCGGGATATGTGGGGCAGTGCCTCACCCATCTGCACCGGGTCATATTCCATGCCAGCTGCAGCCAAGCCATTCCACTTCTCGCGTGCTTGTTCTAGTTCAGCCGCCGTGATAGAAGGAATCTGTTCTTTGACTGCAACCGCTTTGCTCATAAAAATGCTCGCTTCTTCTGCATTTCCTAGCTCGTGCAAAACCCCAGCCAACTGTTCACAAGTCTCTGCAGTAGCTGTGTGAATGAAACCGCATGTTCTTTCACGCGCATGTAGTGCTTTCCTGAAATACGACACCGCGGCAGAGGGGTCCTGACACAACCTGAAGAGAAGTCCAAACTGATGCATCGTTTCTCCCACCTCCTTGCTCACGATGCCAAACACCTCTTCCCGAATGCAGCATGAGCACTCAAGCCAGTATCTGCTTTTGGAAAACTCCCGCAGGTCCATATGCACGGATGCCAGGGTTTGCATGAGCAGAGCCAGTTTCGGAGCATGACATCCTCTGATGTCCACGCCAGTGTCTTCTATGCACACTTCTTCCTCAACTTTCAGCAATCCCAAAAATGTGGAGGAGACGCTCTCTCCGTCCTCCCTACCAACTTGTTTTGCTGGTAAGAGCTTGGATTTAACTTTCGTAAATACCCTCATAGCCAGGCTGTGCCTTGATGTCTCTGTGCGCGCGCTTTCCTTCAGCGAAGCTTCAGCCTGTCCTCGGTGCCCTCGCTTTGCCTGAACTCGCTTGGTCCTTTCGGAAATCTTCTGCGCATCCTGCTCTTCGTCAGAGTCTGCAAGCCTGGCTTGGACGTCGGCATCGTTCAAGAACGAGAAAACTTTTAATGCCTCAGTCAGTGCAGCCAGCGCTTTTTCAGATTCCTGTTTGCGCACCAGGACCAATCCCACCTGATATAATGTGTCTGCGGATAGCGCGTGCATCTTGCCGAGGGCCTTCTCTCTGTCTCTGTATGCAGTTTTCAAGAATCCCATAGCCGTGTCAAGGTCCCCTACGTTTGCGAACGCGACTCCAAGTGCTGCACGGCTTGAGGCGGCCTGCGCACTGTGCTTTCCGACAAGCTTCTCCCGGAGGGCAAGAGAAGCTTGCAAGTAGAGCTTTGCTTCCGAAGGCAGGGCCAACAGCAAATGTGCTTGCCCGAGCTGATGCAAGGAAGCTGCATATGTCAAGTTTCTCTTGCCAAGGTGTTGTTCTCTAGTGGAAGCAGCCTGTGAGAGATGTGCTAATCCCTCCTGGGCGTCGTCGGCATTTCCTCGGAGCAGTAGACCAGAGCCTAACTCGTGCAGTGTCTCGGCAAGGTGAATGCTGCCTTCGCCGAGTTGTCTCCGACGAATCTCTGCCGCTTTTTGAAGCAGCATCAACCCTTCCTCCAAGCGACGGGGACTTCGCACACATAGCGAGCCTAGCGCATGTGCTGAGCAAGCAATTGTTGCATCAGCGCTTGTCTGGTTGACTCGAATCAACAGAGCCTTCTCGAAGCTGCGCCGGGCCTGCTGCACATTGCCCGTGGCAAAATGGACACTGCCCAACAATTGTGCCGTTGATGCCACCTCTTCTGATTCCACTCCGAAGAGCTCAGCACGGATGTTTAGACACTGCTGCAAGTGCTCAGTGGCCTTGTGCAAAGAACTTGTCGTTCGCTGCTTTCTTTCACACGCAATTCGGAGGTGAAGAAGCCCCAAATGGAAGAGCTGTGTTGCCACCGCTGAAGACTTGTAGCCAAACAACTCTTCACTGGCTCGCATAGCCAAGCTCATTGACTCCAAGGCCTCCTCATCCCTGCCAGACCTGGCACACACACTCGCATACATGTTCAGAGTTGAGAATAAGTCGGGATCAGCGGCGTCTAAAATTTCTTTCTTGTATTGTAAAGATGCCATGAGATGATCACGTGCTCGCTCCAAATCTTCGCACTTGTCATGAACTTCAGCAACAATCTCATGGCTGCGTGCAATGTGCAGCTCTAGCTGCTGTCGCGCACCTACATCACACAAAATGCTGTCAATAGTTGGCATGGTGCTCAGGATTGTCTGCTGCCGTCGGAGGCGCTCCTTGAATGCACATAGTGCGAAATGATAGTTTACGAGCACCGGATTGTCCTGCTTCTTGCTGTCCATGCGCTGGCGGTCGTGCACGATCTGGAATCTGTTCGCCTTGACCAAGAAGGCATATCCTGCCAGGTGGAGAACGGTCATTGCATCCTCATGTAGGCGTCCTTGGGACTGCTCGCGCCTTTCCAACACCACGCTCAGTGTGTGTAAAGCTGCCTCTGTGTCACCCAGACGTATATAGGCAGTGGCCATGTTCGTCATGATTGTGATGACGTTGTCGTGCGAATCCTTTTTCTTACCAGCAGCACGCCGGACAATGCGCAGTGCCTCTCGGAAATTTTGAAGTGCAGACATGACATCTCCACGCTGCAAAGAGCAGCATGCCAGGTTGGAAAGGATGATGCCTTTTTGAACGGGCTCCCGATCCATACTATTCAGTCGCACCGTCTTTGCCTTCAAAGTGGAGGTCAGCTCTGGCAAGGAAACCTTGCCATCGTTAGCTACGCTGTCGAGCATGGAGAACACGCGAGCCGGATCTCCAGGGTAGTTCAAGCGCGAGAGTGCCTCAACAAACTTTTTGTGTCCCAGAGCTGACCGCCACTCGCCCCTTACCAACTCCGTGTACAACATCTCTTCACTTCCATCATATCTTTCCTGGATAAAAGCCTTTAAAACTGCAAGCTCCGAAGCTGCTGGCTTCTTCTTCTCAGATGTGAGCTTTGAAGCTTGGCTGAAATAGTCAAAAGCGGTGTTGTAATCGCCAAGCAAATACATTTCAACTCCCCAGTTATTGGTGTTCTCGGCTTCGAAAAGGGACTTGCCAATGGTTGCTTTATGCTTCTTGAAAGCAGCAATGACATCGTCATCTTGCGGGTCCAGGGTGCCGGATTTCTTGAGCTTCAACAAAATCTCCTCACCTATCTCCTGCACGACCGGATCCGCCGACAATCCCATGTTTTGGACTACATCCACGTAGTCGTGTGCCATCACATCAGCAAGGTCGTGAAAAGCAGTTTCACCCTGACCGTTGGCATCTGCCCTCCGCCTGCTCACGTGTGTTCGGAGCCGGGACAAATAAGTTTTCCTGTTGTCGGGGTGAAGCCCTCCAATACTACTAAGTGCAGCGACCACTTTGTTCCGATTCGCACTTCGCTTGGTCCCTGGTTCAGACCGCATGATGTATCGAGAAGTCCAGCTCTGAGGCTTGCGAGAAGAGTGCGAGCCGCTTTGCGGGCCGTCGAGGCCTCCATCGTGACCATCCGTGGCCGCTTGTTCTTCAGTCATTCTGCTCCAAGCTTAGGTGCAGGGCGTCGACAGACCGACATTGCGAATCTTCCTCTGCGACTCAATATGGCCCGTCACTTGCAGCACTGCTGGGGCTGCTCCTGGCGTCACATCGCTGCGACACGGCCTGTGCCCGTGCGTGTCATGGGGTGCTGCTATGCTGCAAGACAAGACAAATCCAACACCTAACACTCTCCAACACTACGTGTTAAGAAGCCTTTTCCGAAGTGAACAACACATTTGCTAGCACCATAGCTTTCCAAATATTTCCACCAGTGACATCTCAGGAGAAGGCTGACGATCAACGATACATGTGCAGCATTCCAAAATGGCTGCCTCTATGCTGGCGGTCTTTGATTTCGATGGAAACGAGGCTTCACAGCTTCACGCTCTTTCGACCCATGAGGAACAAGGACTCAACTGACACAAGTCTTCTCGCCTCATTTACTGCTTTTTACGCAAAGAATGTTTGTTGCGTTGTCGCGCGCAAGGTGCAGACCTTGCCAACATCTATGTACGATATGTCTAACTTGCTGTCTACCGTGGGTGGTGCAAGTGGTAGTGGAGGTGGCCCATCCAAGACTGGTCCTACACCATGTCGTACAAGGATGTGCTGGGCCTTCAATCGGTAGCCACCTCCACGCATCATGTGTGTGCAAGAAGGAGGAGCAATGGCAATGCGGGATCCTCCCTATCCCAGGGAGGATTTGCCTGCTCTTAACTCCGTCGCCTGCGGCTGACCTCGATAGTTCTTAAAGACGCTAAAAATCACTTGGTCGCCTTGATTGAAGTGCCGCTTCTGGTTCTTTTGCAAGAAAACATCCATGCCATTGAACTTCTGTTTCAAATCATCATTGCCGATGAAGCCGTAACCTTTGTCCTGCAAACAGTGTGGTTTCCATCGTGAGAAGCCAATTAGCCGTGCTCACTGTGCAACCCTGTCCTCGAACCACATCGTAATCCGTCCTTCAAATCTCCTGTCTGTGATGCCAGGCATCTGCTCCATGTCAGGTGGCCTGTAGCTGGGATGATTCGCGTCGCTGGAAGCGCCAGGCGGCAAATCGTCGACATCGTGTAAATCGATTCCTTTGTCCTTTTTTCTCTTTTTGCCTTTCTTCTTGTCGTCGTTCTCGCCCAGCATGGACCCCATCATGGCACCCATCATCATCATCTGCATTTGCATCTGCATCTGCAGCATCATTTGCTGCTGCATTTCGTCACCCTCGCCCTCAGGGCTGCCACTCGTCCCCGTGCCGCCGGCGGGCCCTGCAGGACACAAGCCACCACCGCTGCCCAGAGGCCCAGGCCCCATGCCCCCACCTGTGCAGCCGCCCATGCAAGGCATGGTGGACCCGCCGCACCCCATGTCCAGCCCGGGCATGCCTGGCAGTTTTGGCATGAAGGACTTCGGCAAAACAGCTCCGTTTGGCCCGGACCCACAAGGCATGGGGAGCGTGGCCTCAGCACACATGCCAGCAATACGAAAAGCGTGGCAAAATCTGCGCAAGTGTCTCTGACAACAAGAAGCAAAACAAAGCACTGCATGCACTGAGTGACCATGGGCAGTCCAGGCGATGCCGCGGTCAAAGCTGGTAAACCGGCTCCAAGTGGCGGAGCGCCCTTTGCAACTGCACCCATGCTGCTAGGATTCGGCATGCCTCCTTTCACCATGCTGGTGGCTTTGGCCAGCGTGCCAGGGGTGCTCGCCTTTGCAGCCACCGCAGAGTTTCCATCAGTTTCGCCTCGGACGAGAAAGCAACCAAAGGCGAGGCTCTTTCAAGTGGCACCACTGCAACCGTATCACTCCTCAGCTTGCAGCAAGATAGCAACTGAGGTAGCTGCCTACAGCCACGTTCATTTTCGGCGGTACTGTGCCCGGAGAGGTAGTGGCTGCTGCTTGTCCTTCTGATGTAGATGCTGGTGCAGGTGCTGCACCAGCAGATGCAGGCGGTGGGCTAGAAGCTTTTTGCTTCTGCTCTAGCTCCTCGCCCTGCTCCCGCAAAGCAGTCGCCAAGCGTTCCCGCGCCCACCGCCGGGGATCGACCAAAATGGCTTGCTTACTTTCATCTCCAAGAACTTGCGGGAGTTTGTTCCTGTCTTCCTCATCTTCTCCGTCTGGTATCTTTCCAACTGGTGCACCATCCTTGCTCTCCTCCTGCTGCTTCTTGTGGGATGCTTCCAGAGCTTCGCGACTTCTTTTTAGTTCGGAAGTCCTCTTCTCCAGTGCCTGTGATCCACGATGACTCGCAAGTGGGTTACTGTAAACTGGGAAAGCTTCACTGCATCGTGCTTTGTCACTGATCTGTGGAAACTCATGACATCTAACGTGGCCCCAGCATCATGGTCCTACCACCGTGCTTCACAAGCCGGGACTCGCGGGGCAATGAGTTCGCTTAGTTTATACGACTGGCAAAACTTGCACCTCTATTTGCTGAAGCAGTGTGGAGCTCGTTCGCTCCAGCGTCAACTTAACATCGGAGGGAGCTGACGACATTCCTGGCCACGGCGACTCAACAAGCAAAGTCGTGCAATGCAACACGTAACCCGGCACAAGACTGCATTTGAACAGTCTGATGCTTCATGGAAAAGATGTCCTTCGGCAAGAGCTCGCTTCCAGCGTGCAGGCCACGGCCACGCCGCAAAGGCCCTAGGAAGGCAAGCGCCACCATCCGCACATTTGGATTTCCTACCGTCTGCAGAACCAAATGGCCAGTCGAAAATTCTCACCCTCCCTCATGTTTACGACGACGAGCCAGCGTTGAACTTTGCTGTGCTTTCGAGTGTTCCGGTGCCACTCGCGAACACATCCGCTGTGCGCCTTGCACTGCCACTGGTGCCGGTAAACATGCCTCGAAATCCCGGCTGAATCGGTGAATGCGGCAACCTTCCCAACTACGCAAGGCCGTCGGAGAGCAGGATCTGCTTTTTCATTTCAGCACGTGCAAAGAAAGTTTGCCAAGACATGGTTCGGTGAGTTTGTAAATTCGATTCGGTAATGTGTTCCAAAGAAAAACTGTGGAAACAAATGCAGAACAGTCAGGACAATGTAGAAAGCCCCTTTTGGATGGGGAGTGGGAGCAGGAGCGGGCACGAAAAGTCTAGCGGCTAGTGCTTTTGAGGACATCTACTGCAGATCTCTGCAGGAGCTGCAGGCCCCTGATTCAACAGTATACCGGCCCTGTTGAAGAAGTTTTCGATCATGTGACTTTCTATGAATCGAAGCAGCAGGTGTATTGGAAGCATCATTTGAAGAAGTTTTTCACGACGAAGCCTGCAGA